TTGGATCAGAAACCTATATGGCTATATCCATCTTGATCATTATAACTAAGTTGCATCTTGAAGAACATTCTCTTCTCTCTTTACAAATGCATTTTTTCCCACCGGAACTTGTCCTGTCCCATTTTAATGTCTCGCCAAACGTGTGACAAGTTCTTGTACTGTTATGTCCCCTCTTACCAACTGCACCCGAAAATCCCCTTGGCCTTGGATGTCGAGAGGCAAGTCTTTATACATGATCATTCCATTGCATTTTACAAAGATGGTGTTTTCGTGTCTTGAAAGTCACAAAGGAGCATACTATTCTATTCAGAATCTTGAATTAATTTGTTTTTTGACTGGTGTTTGGTATATGTTGGCATATGACAGCTTTTTCAGAAGCTGTACCCTGATGATGAATCCTTTCCAGAGACTGGAAACACCGACTCGCCCGATGAGCTAGAAGATGATGACAGTGAAGTTGGCCTAGAATCCTAGTGACGATCCCAACGCTTTCAGGTACCCAGATCATCACAGTTTTGCCACCTGCATTATTTTATTTACGGTTTTAGTTGAGACCCTACCTCTGCCTGATATTTCCTGGGTTTGTTTGGTTTCTGTTGTTGCAGAAAGTTCTAAAACGTAGATACAGAAGATAGATGTGGTCAGTTTTATATGTTGTATTGTATCAGAGTGAGTCGATAACCATGGGCCCAGTCGCTGTGGCTGGAAATGTGGTTTATGGTCTGACTGTTGATGGTGGTTGCATGGCSGATGTCCGCCATGAAATGCGYACTGCCTGAGGTGTTCCGTGTCGGTGCTTGGTGCTTGCAAATGGTTGTAAACACAACCTTCATCCACAAGGAGCTGTTGTAATGTGAAGCTGCACATTGATCGTTTGCTTTCGTATTGGTATTTAATCTGAACCTCTATTCAACTTTAGGATACTTGTTAAATGAACTACCATAATCTTTTCTTTTCTATCTAATACTATATTATAAAGCATTTACACCATATTTTTATTTTATTTTTATAAATTTAAGTTTATTATTCGTCACTACATGTTCACATTTTTTAATTTTAGCTCTTAAAAACAAACTTGGATAATAGACATTTTTTTGTTGCCTACTCACWCGAACCCATATCCTTCACTGATATAAACTAACTGCTCCACCGTTCTTGGAGGCCCGTTTTGAGCATCGATTTACAGTTGGATAATTTGGTTACCGTCGCCATCAAGAAGCGATTCGAGAAAATGATKGTTGAGCACTCGGATAATGGTAGGCGACATTTCYTAAATTTGATGTTTTTCTCTCCTCTGTTACTCCCGAGTCCCTACCCTCCGGCGTAGCAACCCCCATCGGAGTCAGCCTCTACCTTGGGCGTAACAGGCGCGTCTTCATTCTAGCTTTTTTCGGCACTGGGGATCCTAATTTGTTCCCGAGTACCAAACCTTGTACTTCCGCAAATTTGTTTTTTGTTAGCCATATAAGTTTGTATCCTGAAGATGGGATTCGAGAAAGAATCGAAAAGGTTTAGGTGGAGTTGATCGACGATTATTTAAAGATAAAAAAATAACCAATATATCCTGAATTAACGGAAAAACCAACGGTTACTGGATGGAGAGACAATATTAACAAACATCAAGAATAAAAACCGATTAAATGAAGTATAGGGACGGGATTCGTTAAAGTAGACAAAAATTAGGGACAAAAATGGAAGTTTACTCAAAAATAAATTTTGTTGAAAAAACTATGTACCGCTGCCAGGACTTGAACCTGGGACTCCCTTTTTAGGTGGAGGCGATTGATTTAGAAGATCTGTTCGATGTGCAACAGCGGAACTTCTGTCTTTCATCTCGCATTTATTTTATTTATCCTCTATAAAACATAAAGGAAATAACACCCTCTTCTCCGTGTAGCATAAATATTGATACATCATGCAACATTCAGGGTCGTTTATCTGGTAAAAGGTACGATAAATTCGATAGTTTAGCGATGGCAGCTCCAGCAAAATGCTTTCTGGTGACTGGCTCCCCTGTAAGTTTCCATATATTCATTTTGAATCCCACGTTCCTTTGAATCGAATCAAAGCTGAAGTTGAATCTGGTTTTCACTCCTCAGGGCGTCGGTAAAACCACTCTAATTGCTAGGGTTTTGGAGACACTCAGAATTTCCAACCCCAATTTAAAGATTCAGGGTTTCTTAACCCGTAACGCTCTATCATTGTACCAATTTAATCATACGATTAGGTGTTCGCCTTTTTTTACTGATCAAATAATGATAATCTGAGAGGAAATTTGGAATACGCAGGCGAGATCAGACAAGGAGGCGAGAGGGTAGGGTTTGAGGTGGTTACGTTAGATGGTCGTACTGCTCCACTTGCTTCTATTCACAGTTCTAGGTAAGTTTTTTTTTTTTATACCTTCTGATCATACAAAGGCGGCTTACATTTTTGCTATCCACATTATGTGCATTACTCCATTTGTCCCATGAATATCKTAAAGTTTTCTGGATCAATATAAGTGGCATCAATGGTTTGTGGTGTGAAATGGATAGATAAGTTATTTTCCAGATACACTGGAGGTCGTATGTACAAATCAAAAGATTATGTATGGTCAGCCAGATCTTATAAAATTGCCGAAAAGGAAATGCTGCTTTTGTCATGGGACAGAAGTAACATTTCTTTCTTTCTGAAACAACATTGTTGATGTTTAGATATTAAGGTATAATTGTCTAAATGAAAAAGGGTTCAAGCCACCTCTTTTAGTCGTGGCTAATGATTTATGATTGTTGGAGAATTAAAAGTTGTAGGATATTAGCTATTAATGTTGGGTACCCATAAACCCTCTTTTATGTTTATGAATTATGATAATTGATAAAATACAAAAAACACA